CCCTCCAAAGGTCTGATAGGTGTTTGTATCCTCCAACTGTCTATATATTTCCAATGCATAATCTTTATAATTCAGTATTACAATTCCGCCGCCTTTATCTGCCAGATGTATTATGATAGAGGCATCTTTAGATAATTGTTGGATAATCTCTCTCTGTTTTTTTGAAAGATTAAAATGTGTTGAATGTTGATTCGATAGTATATCTTCCGTCTCAGTTTTAACGAATGTAAGAAAGGTTTTTATTGTAGGATGGCAAGTTGGCGGATCAAATTTACTTGCAACTTTAAATTTGTGTCCTGTATTCTGCTCATAATTCGTAGATTAGTCTCTTTGTGATTTATGAAAAAAATCATTTAATCTTAAATTCCTCCCAAATTTGAAAAGTTCCACATCCCATTGGAATTGGTTTGGCAACGTGGTAGGGATATATGAAAGACTCTTATTTAGAACATCTATTTCTTCTTTAGACAACTCCCTATCAGACAGATTGAACACTGGAATTATTTCCGGAGGGGTGGTTTGTCCCTGAGTCCAGTGGGGATGCCCCCTCTGGCCCCTCCTTGTGACATGTCTCTTTCGTTTCTCAAAGTACTTCTTGTGATCTTGCGTGGAGGAGAAACTGTGTTGGCTACCTCCTCCACCGCCGCTTCCACCTACACCGCCACAGTCACTGCCTCCTCAACCGATGGGTCAATTAGTATAAACTATGTACACAATAGCAGAGGCTTTTGCAGGCCTTTTCTCCATGCATCAGGAGTTGAGCTCAGTTTGAACAATGAAAGAGAATACCCTGCTCTCCAACCCTCTCTCAAATTGATAATTCTGGTGATCCTCCTGACAGCCATGCTTTAGATTTTGATTTATGTTCTTCCAAAGCTAAAATCAAAGATTCCATCTAGTGCTATTTTATGGCTCAGCTTTATTTATAATTCTTATGTATTTTATGTTATTTTAAGTGATTTCTGTACTTCCGACCGGGTACCTTCCATTGATGGATGCTCCTAGTGCTTTCTGAGGACTCCAAGCACTCCGCCAGACACCATAACCACTGTAGACTCCCACGAGCCGCCGCAGCTTGGTTGGGGTCTCGCCGTCCCCACCCACTCTGGACCCAAGACCAGGGTCCAGCTTCCAGTAGGTCAACCTCTCCGAATTCCAGAGTACAGGAACGGGAACAAGCTCTTAGCAGAGCTTAGTGATTATACCCTGGGGAGTATAGTGATTATAGCAATACCCAGAGTGTAGTTCTCCAATCCACCAAACATGAGCCGAAACTACATGAAGGTACAAGATGATCTAACTCCAATGAGCGTTTATTACTCCTTATATACAAGTTTTCAGGCCAGAGGCACACCCTCTGTACCTGGTGGTAAACTGTGTCAAAAGGGATACAAACCAATGCGACATAATAACACTCCCACATACACAATGAAATCCCTCCTCTCCCTCCTGGAGATAATTGGCTTAAGGCACTGCAGTAAACTCAATTATCTCCAGGTACAGAAAATATCTACATTTTACACTAACAGCAAAAATACGTAAAAGTACATAAAAATACATCATTCTTATTATATTACACAGAACCCCCACATTTAACCTAACCCCAGATAGCTCGAATCTGAGCACCCAATATAGGTGAACCGCGCTCAGATCCCATGAACAGAGTAAATTTGCCATTGGGTAAAGCATAGCAAGGGCTGTTGAGAGACCAAGGAGGGACAAAAGCAGTCAGTTCCAACTGGTTTAGCAGTGTGCCTGGGACAACGCCCTGCTGGAGAACAATAGACAGGAAATGGAGGAGGGGAAGAGACACACTGTGACAGATCCCTCTGTCTTAGAACTATAGTGCTTTCCTGGTGGATTTGTGTAATTGCCTGTCTGTACTTCCCTGTTCGTTTGTTTGATAATCTACCGAACAAACTGCCGAACGGCCGGAGTGTGCTGCTGGTTAACCTATTGGTCCCAATTCAAACGTTGTGGTTAACCGCAGACACCTCCTAATTGAAACCATATGCTGGGTGGTCGTTGTTCGTATGCTGACCACGAGGCAGCGGCCATCTTAGATGCACAAATACACAGCGGTGTTCGTCGACAAACTTATGGAACTCAAAACGGACACTTTTTCTCCCGAACACCGCTGAAAACCGCCGACCTCCATTCTTTGTCATCCGGCATACGAACACTGGTCCGTTCGGGACTTTTTATTTCATGAATTGACTTAACCCAGATAGCTATCCCATGGAGCCCTTCGTATACCAAAAGAACAGTGTGAAAGATTTTGGCTCCATGGCGATTGAACTGTGTGTATTGGATCTGAGCGCCATTCGGTAATAATGTGCGCTCAGATCTAGGCTATCTGGGGATACGTTATGTGTGTGGAAGGAGGGGTTGCTTGTACAAAGGGTAGGGTTTATGTCTGAGCCACTGTGATTGGCTAATGTATCATACTTGTCCGAGTCTTCCATCTGGTCCGCTAGGGGAGTGTCCACCAGGTGGGAGACCTGCATAAATACCGGGCAGGTAGCCCTCATTAAAGCAGATTCCTGTTTTACCCTCAAGACGGAGCTTGGTCTCGTGTTTGGGGGGATTGCTACTTTGGAGTATTTTTTTGCTTGTTCCAGGAGAGGAGGAGTTCGTATGATTCCAGGTTCGGGAGTTTGGGGCATTCCCTTATATTCCGTTCGGGAGTTTGGTGGTCTACAGCAATGGTGCCTGTGTCTCTAAAGGGGGAAGATCTACTTAACGGCGGTTTCACTAATTTATGCCGGGAGTATCTTAACACACACCTTCCCATGGATTCAAATGGGCAGAAACAGTCTTTAGAAGCCCCAAATAGTCTTTTTAAATGGCAATACACCCCAGGGCCATAGTCATGATGAAGGAAGCTGGCAATCAGGCTCCTCCAACAGCCGGGGTCAAAGGGCAGCTTGTCACCTAACAATCCAGTGACAAATGGCATTTCATCACAATTTCCCTATCCACATTTGTTTTCAGGGCACTTGTCCTACTCTTACCCCCATTTTACTTCCTTTTGCAGCCCTCTAGCCCTTTCCAGGACGTTTTTAGAGGCATTTTTGTGCCCAAAAGTTCAGGTCCCCATTGACTTCAATGGGGTTAGGGGTCAAGTTCGATCCCGAACCCGGACTTTTTTTCAAAGTTCGGCCAGACCCGAACATCCAGGTGTCTGCTCAACTCTAGTTATGCTCATGTGGTTTGAAGTACGTAGGCAAAACATTTCGCCCCTTTAAGCTTTGCATAAGAGAACACATTAACTCCAACAAATATTACAAAGGTACATTTCTCAGTATGTACCGTTGGGAAATAAATATAAAAGAAACAAATTAAAACCAATGTGGCTTAGTAGAGAAGTAAAACAAGAGATTAAAACTAAGAAAAGGGCATTTAAATCGGACAATTCAGATGCATCTTATAAAAGATATAAGGATGCAAATAATGCGTGCAAAAAGGCAATTAGACTTGCTAAACTTCAAAATGAAATAATGATAGCTGAAGAGAGCAAAACCAACCCCAAAGCATTTTTTAAGTACATAAATTCTAAAAAAAACAAAAATGAAAGTGTAGGTACACTAAAAACTGAAACGGGGTGTTAGTTAATGAAGACCAGGAAAAGGCAGGAATTTTAAATAACTATTTCTCCTCCGTATATATTAAGGAAGAACCCATGGCAATAGATGTGCAAATGATTGCTACTAAAAACTTGTAGAATAATTGTAATTGGTTAACTCAAGACAAGGTGCTGCAGCAAATAAGAAAGTTAATATAAACAAAGCTCCAGGGCCTGACGGTATCCATCCACGTGTACTTAAGGAACTAAGTGCAGAAATAAGTGAACCTCTGTTTTTAATCTTTCAAGATTTTTTTCTTTCAGGAAGTGTTCTGGAGGATTGGAGGAAGGCAGATGTGGTTCCTATATTCAAAAAGGGTTCAAAATCCTTGCCTGGAAATTATAGACCTGTGAGCTTAACTTCTGTGGCTGGTAAAATATTTGAAAGTTTATTAAGGGATAATATTCAAGAATTCCTTGAGAAGAACATGGTTATCAGCAAAATCAGCATGGTTTTATGAAGCACAGGTCATGTCAAACTAACTTGATTGCGTTCTACGAAGAAGTAAGTAGAAGTATAGATCAGGGTGTTGCCGTGGATGTGATCTATTTGGATTTTGCCAAGGCATTTGATACAGTTCCACACAATAGATTAGTGTTCAAACTCAAGGAAATCGGTCTAGATGAAAATGATTGTTCTTGGGTAGAACATTGGCTTAAAAACAGAGTACAAAGAGTTGTCATTAATGGTAAATTTTCAAGCTGGACAGAGGTGGCAAGTGGTGTCCCTCAGGGGTCTGTTCTGGGACCCCTTCTATTTAACATGCTTATAAATGATCTTGAAGACCGCATTGAAAGTCATGTTTCAGTGTTTGCAGATGACACCAAACTTTGTAAAACAATACAATGTGAGCAAGATATTACTTTGCTGCAGAGGGATTTAGATAGACTGGGGGACTGGGCACTCAAATGGCAGATGAAATTTAATGTTGAATAATGCAAAGTTATGCACTTCGGCGTAAAGAATACACAAGCAACGTATACCCTTAATGGAAGCGAATTAGGGATAACAACACATGAAAAGGACTTGCAAATTGTTATAGACAACAAACTATGCAACAATGTGTAATGTCAATCAGCAGTGGCCAAGGCCAGTAAGGTATTGTCATGCATGAAAAAGGGCATTCATTCTCGGGACAAGAATATAATTTTGCCTCTCCATAAATCACTGGTAAGACCCCATATTGAATATGCTGTGCAATTTTGGGCACCTGTTCTAAAGAAGGATATTATGGCACTAGAAAAAGTGCAGAGGCGGGCTACACAATTAATAAAAGGAATGGAACATATTGGCTATGAAGAAAGGTTAACAAATTTAAACCTATTTAGTTTAGAAAAACGTCGCTTGAGAGGGGATATGATAACATTATACAAATATATTCGGGGCCAATACAAACCATTGTGTGGAAATCTATTCACAAACCGGACTTTACATAGGACACGAGGCCATGCATTTAGACTGGAAGAAAGAAGATTTTGTCTAAGGCAAAGGAAAGGTTTTTTTACTGTAAGAACAATCAGGATGTGGAATTCTCTGCCTGAGCAAGTGGTTTTATCAGAGTCCAATTCAGATGTTCAAACGGCTACTAGATGCATACTTGCAAGAACAGAATATTCAAGGATATAATCTTTCAATGTAGGGTAATAACTGCTTGATTCAAGGATAAATCTGACTGCCATTCTGGGGTCAAGAAGGAATTTTTTTCCTAGCTTGTTGCAAAATTGTGCTTCAAACTGGGGTTTTTTGCCTTCTTTTGGATCAACAGCAAAAAACAAATGTGAGGTAGGCTGAACTTAATGGATGCAAGTCTCTTTTCAGCTATGCAACTATATATGTAAGGAGAACATTAGAGACATTAATTTCACGACATCTAAAAACTCACCATTCTTGGGTGGAGCCTTACCTAGAGGATGCATATGCCTCGAGCTCCGAGTGAAACTCGCTCAAACAAACATAGAAACGAAGAAAAACTTACTTTTTAATCACAAATATCAGCAGCCTGAACTCAGACAAACATGAGGTGGGGAAATAAAAAATCAAAGCCGGACAAACCCCCTTCTATGGCGGACATCGGAAAACTACTGCGGAGGCCCCAAAACTTCCAGAGGCCTGACATGGCGCCACAACCGGAGGACCTGTACCACTCGTTCAGCGAGGCCACCGAGTCGGAGGAGGAAGACTATGGCACTGGAGTGGTGAGCAGACCGATCCAATCACCCACAAAACCTAGCCTCACTGAGGAGAAGCTCAAGGTCATGCTGGGAGAGCTGCGCTGCAACATAGCCAACATCGGAGTCTTCCGCGACGAGATCAGCGGAGTGGTGGCCCGCCTGCAAAAGCACAAGAATCGCACAAGAATCCCGTCTGGCATCGGTGGAACAACAAATTCTCATCCTGCAAAAGACACAGAAACAACACCAACATAGCAGCACTTGAAGACAAAAGACGTGGGAAGAACGTCAAAATCCGAGGCCTACCAGAAGAGGTAGAGACCACAGAGCTGCCGCACCGAATCCGCAGACTGCTCAACACTTTATTCACACCCAAAAAGGCTAAAGGGATGCTGCTGGATAGCTGCTACTGCATCTCCGGTCCGCAAGCCGACACACCAGTGAGGGGGAACGATGTAATCGGCAGATTCCAACAAGGCAGAGATTGCCAGACATTCATGGCGGCCGTGTGCAGTAAGTTTCCTTTCCACTTCGAAAGCCACTCTCTGACCTTTTACCCGATTTGTCCAAGACCACCATGGACGGTTTTTGCGACCCCTGACTACAGAACTCATAGCACACAACATACCCTACCGCTGGGGCTCCCCCAGAACCCTGATTTTAACCAGGGACACTGGCACCCTTAAAATACATGAAGCTACTGTTGTGGAAATGAGATATTAACATAATTTTAGCTAGTAAAATGTCTATTTACTCAATTTAGTTATACTCAATATTATTCAATAAATTACTAAACTGACCACTAGATGCCACTCAGGAGTACCCCACCCATCGACCAAACACTCTAATTTTCAAGATGGCGCTGGAATCCGGGGGAGAACTTCATGACGACAGTAATGACATAAGATGGCACACCCAGTAGGACGTGCTTTGAATAAAACACTTAACACTTAACCAATTATTGATGTATTATTTCATGTTATCTCTGACAGTGCTTATGATGTAATTGTGCTTTATAAGGGACATGTCGTCCCCCCTGAATAAACATTCCAGAGTATTTCATCAACCGGGAAACATGTGTCTGGTGTGATTTACTTTGGAAAGCATGCACCATAACTAATTTGGAAAGGGGCAGATACACAAAAATAATTAATTGATTAAAATTTATTTCCACTTCAATTGGCGCCCAAGACGTGGGGCACCGGATTTGCCGGTTCGGAGGGCCGGAAACCAAGGACTGGAGCGGACCCCCAGAAAATGGGACAACCGGAACCTGATCACCTCCAAAATGCAGCCGTTGTCTGTATATTCCTTTTTGTGTTGGTCTGTCTCCGCGTCTACTTCCGGCATCCAGAAGGCTACTAGAGACAGGTAATATCTTATCCGGTGCCTATTTAAAACGAACCTGTCGATTGTCTATCTGCCTCCTGAGTGTTTATATGAATGTTTGTGACGGCCGGTGCATGTGTTTTCTTTTTAAAATCTTAGCTTGACTGCCTAGCGGGCAGGGAACGCATACAGCCGGTAAAGGGCTGGGTACGACCCGGGTAACAGGGTTAGGATATTAAGTACAGCCGATACGGGGCTGGGTACAACCCGGAGAAGGGTTGCGATATTAAGTACAGCCGATACGGGGCTGGGTACAACCCGGAGAAGGGTTGGGGAATTGTTACAGCCAGTAAAGGGCTGGGGACCACCTGGTAAAGGGTGGGGTTATTGTGTTATTGTTTTATTGTTGTCCACCCGGTAAAGGGTTGGGGTACAGCCTAGAGAGAGGCTGGGATTGTTATTGTATTGTCCTGAGTGGATCAGGGGTTATTGCTGTGTTTAATTGTTTTACTATGCCCTTTTTGTCTTAATATGTACATGGCCATATTGTTTTCTGTCATTTTGTGGATTTTGTTCAATTGTTGTTACAGTGTGGGTACCCTCGGTGTGTGTGTGTGTGTTGTGTGGCTTGTCCTTGATTCTGGAGTGTACACTCACTTATATGTGTGTGATTTTTGTAAATGCTTAGTGTTGCCACCTTCATCTTTTCCTTTGTCCTCTATCTGTCCTGTGAATGCTTCCCAGAGCTGTGTTAGTCACCCACGCTCGCCCGCTCCGGTCCGTGGTCGCCATCTCGGGTGCACGGACCACCGTGACTGGTCTACGTTTAGGGAAGACGCACGTGGCTCCAACCCTCATGGCAGTCGAGCACTGTAGACAGCCCCCCCCCTTTGTCTTGACTTTCCCTCCTTATCTTCCTACTTTGCCTGTCGTCATTACGTGGCATCCCTTGTTTGGTCATAAATAAAAAAAATGAGGCAAGAGCATGCTAGACCAGCTAAGGGGTATTTGGCTTGTGATATTGTTAAAGAGAGGGCAGGAGAAGAAGCTATGCTGAAAATGAAAAAGTTAGCAAAGATTTCTGGTTTCCAAACGTATAAGTCTCTGTCCTTCTGTCTTGTTACTTTACGGCGCTCACATGGTTAACCTTCATGCCTGCAGTTTCTCTCGTTTCTCTCTCTCCCCTTTTTGCACTCTGTCTCACTTTCTCCCCCCCCCCCTTGCCAAGGGGGAAGGAGTGACATGCCTGCATTTCGGAGCTACTGATAAGAGTTAGAGACGGGATTTTTGCTGGAAAATATTCTAATTGTGTAATATTGTGTACATTGTTATATACATAGACGTTGTTAGGAAGGTTACGGTGTGATGTGTCGTGTAGAGGTTACTAGAGTTTGAATTTATATATTATTATTATTATTGCCATTTACATGGCGCCAACAGATTCCGTAGTGCTTTGTGTATATATATATATATATATATATATATATATATATATATATTGTGTTTTGTGATAAGGTAGTGAGGATTGTGGGGGAGACTAGCTCACAAGAATGCATTCAGTGTTCAATACGGAATTTAGGAAAGTGAAGCTGATAAATAATATAGGAATATTTGGACATGTTAAGTGTAAAAGGCAAGTGTGATTTGTTGCAATACTAAGCAATGTGGATAGAGGGATTATGCAGTATAGCTAGGTTAGTATATGAAGAGGAAGGTGATTAATGGTTGTTGGATGATAAGGGAAATTGGTTGAATTCCGTGAGTTTATTTTGCATCATGTTACTTTAAAGTACATGTTTCTATGGACAGCTTTATGGGCTGTTAAATGCATAATGTTCTCAACTGTCTTATTTAACCTGCCAGGTTTATTTATAGTTTAGTATTTCATCTCGAAACTGACTTATTTTATTAGTTATAATATAGTGTATTGTTGAAAGTGAGTCAGCCACCTCCCTAAAGATGGCGCCTAGTACAGAAGGAGGTTGGCCCTGCCAGTCTCGTGACCTATCTACAGTCACGTTTGCTTCTAAAGTAACATCACTTCCGCCCTTACCATGCCCACACCTCCTGTCTTCCTTTCCCACACATATCATGGATGTCACCCCCCTCACTTCCTCCCTTGCCATCATTTCCTTCCCCGCCCCTATCATGGCTGCCTCCATCATGAGGCCTACCCCTATTATGCTCGTCCTATTTAGAGACATGTTGTTTTCCTTACACTCTACATATTATACAGAAACATTATAATTACTAAAACAATCATGCCATTTGTTTTTCTGTATCAGAAATGTGTCCGGTATAATAATATTAAAAAAAAAATAATTGCTAAAATGTCATTTGCAACTGTGGTGTGACCTACAAATGAGATCTGTTGGACACGAATATAAGAGCATAACAGCTGATTATCCAGATGAATATTCATTAATGCCTGTGTCTTGCAACAAGGGAAATAGCCAAATAATGCAAGTTATTTTAAACATTGTATCTTTACTTAATCGAATCTTGCTAGTTACAGATCGTATGTTTACAGTAACATCCTTTACGTTAAATGATGGTTTAGCATTAGAAGGGTTTGTGACATGTTTAATTAATCCAGACACTACTGGTTATTCATTTTAGTTACAGGGTGGTGTAATTGTTATGGTCTAATTCATATAAATGATAGTACCTCAATAGTTAATGTTTTATCCAAAGACATACAGGAACTTTACTTCACTTACTATTAAACATTATTTATAATGATAGACATGTTCAGACTGCAAAAAGCTATGGCTAATGACATAGAAAGGGGTTAGAGTCAGTAACACAGCCCATACAGAGTTGTCTCCTCCACATGTCCCATTAACCTCTTGGGTGCTGATGTCCTATCCCGCCTCCAATCATCCATCACCCTCACTGCAGACGGCCAGGTTCAATTAAATACACCTTTGTCACGAAAAGACACTTCAGTTCTTTGTTCCCTTCCCATTTTACTACATCTCACATCTCCTATGGGGGAATCAAGGGTCCCTCATGCCCCCAGTGCTCTAGACAGGATCCCTGCAAAGCTCTGGTCCACAGGCCCTGATGATATTGGACGCCTTAAAGTTCCCCCAGTTGTGGTCACACTTCTACCAGGAGTAGCGCCTCCCCAAAGACCACAGTATCCGCTGATACCTGCACAAGCTCTCAGCAAGTGGAAAACCTTCTAGCCAAGGGAGCCCTTGTCAAGTGTGTATCGCCATGTAACACTCCCCTTTTCCCTGTAAAGAAGAAGACTGAGAAGGGACAGCCTGAACAATACCGCATGGTCCAAGATCTACGTGCAGTTAATGATGTCACGGTCAAGGATACAGCTGTGGTCCCTAATCCACATACGCTACTGTCACAACAGTCCCCCTCTGCCACAATTATTACTGTAGTGGACCTTGCTAATGCATTTTTCAGTGTGCCCCTGGACACATCCTGCCAATACCTCTTTGCTTTTACTCATGAAGGTCAGCAATATACATGGACTGTTATGCCTCAGGGGGCTCAGAATTCGCCCACTCAGTTTGCCCGTGCCATGTCAATGGTTCTGGAACCCTGGCAAAAGACTCACACAGATGTAGTCCTGCTTCAATATGTTGATGACTTACTTCCCTGTGCTGCTGATCTCCAAACTGCTGAACGTGTTTCTGAAGACCTACTTTGCTTCTTAGCTGAAAAAGGCTGTAAGGCCAAGCTTCAATGGTGCCGGCCCTCAGTGGTCTTCTTGGGACATTGCCTTTCCCATGGCACCCGCCACCTTACCAAGGACAGGATTTTAGCCATTTTGAATTTACCAGTTCCTTCTGCTCATCAATCTCTCCATGCCTTCTTAGGCCTCATCACATTTTGCAGATCCTGGATTCCTGAAGCTTCTCAACTGATGCAACCACTATATGATGCCCTGAAACGCGAGCCTTTCTCACTTTCACCAAATGCCATTGCCTGTTTCACTGATCTAAAGAAGGCTATCGCATCAGCACTAGCCTTGGGCCTACCGAACTACCAACTGCCTTTCAAGTTGTTCGTGTCTGAGAAACTGGGCCACGCCTCCGGAGTACTTACTCAACAACATGGCTCCAGACAAAGACCCATAGGCTACTTCTCTTGCATGCTTGATCCTGCTGCCAGAGGCAGCCCCTCCTGCCTGAGGGCAGTGTTTGCAGCTAGTGCCCTGCTGGATAAAACTAATGATTTCATTCTCTGCCATTCATTGACCGTTTTGGCACCACATGATATTTCTGCAATACTTCAACAAACCCAACCAAGGCATCTCTCCTCTCAGCGTCATCTACGTTACTTGCTACTCACTGAACCCAGCCACTCTTCTGCCATTTCCCAAGGGGGGAGTGGCACAGTACTGGTACAGCCTGGATATCAACCCAGATGCCCGGATGGAAGTGGCACAGTACTGGTACAGCCTGGATATCAACCCAGATGCCCGGATGGAATTCCAACAACCTACACTTGCAGCTCCACATGATGTACAACCTGAGAACTTGTTACACTGTACCCTGTGGTTCGAAGACAACCCAGGCCCTGATGTGGATTATGAAGAAGAACTATTTCAACTTGTGTAAGTTCACATCACATTGACAGACTTGTTATGGGACACCAGAGGCAACATGGTCCTACTGGTGCACCTCCCAACAGAAGTATCCCACCTCTACCGTCACTGGGAGACAGCTGTTCCACACATATCCTTCACTAAATCCCCTGATTTCTCATGGAAAGATCTAGGCCCAATGGCCAGGTCCTGGAGTGCAACAACCCAAGAACAACTTGAATCAATGGGAGTAACTAAGAAGATTATCAACTACAGTACAGTTGGATATCCTCGATACCACACAGAAATTTGTGAAGATCTCCCTTCCATGGAATAAGACTCAGAAGCCCCTCATGATTGCTTTGAACAGATGGAGATGGAAACCACCCATTTACCAACTGTACATGAGACTGCTCTACCTAATCCAGATCGGATACTGTTTGTGGATGGTTCCAGACTTGCTGATGAACAAGGGCAATATCACACTGGATATGCATTTACCACAGAATGTCAAATACTACAGGCAGCTGCACTTCTGCCAACCAAATCAGCTCAAGAAGCCGAACTAACAGCCCTCACAGTGGCCTGCAAGCCATCTGAAGGTCTACGTGTCAACATTTATACAGACTCAAGATATGCCCTGGAAGTGGCACACGATTTTGGCCTGATTTGTAAAACCAGAGGATTTCTCACAGCCACCGGCACTACGGTGAAACATGGCACAGCCATTGAAGAATTAATGGATGCCCTAATACTTCCAGCAGAAGTGTCAGTGCTCAAAGTGAAAGCCCATGGGAGGCTGAATTCAGAAGAAGCACAAGGCGACCACTTGGCTGATCAAGTCTCCAAGGAAGCAGCACGACAAGGGTGTAAAGTGGACAGAAGAGTGGCCATTGAAACAACACCCGTTTACACCATGCAAACATTGCCTACAGACCTCAGACTCTTAAAGGAGCAACAAGCTGCTGCGACCCCCCCAAGAGAAACAAAGTTGGAAAAACAGAGGGGCTGTTCTCCGAGATGATGTCTATACCATCAATCTTAAGTTCTGTCTACCCAAGAATATGCATCCAGCTGTTGTCCAATGGGCCCATGGACCTGCCCATTTGTCAAAACATCTGATGAACTCTCTGATTGCTAAATATTTTGAAGCACCAGGTATTACTACTCTAACACAGAATTATTGTAGATCTTGTGCAATTTGTGCTAAATGTAACCCTGGGAAGATTGTTAAAACTGCACCCAACCACTTGGCCAAACCACAGTACCCTTTCCAGAGGATACAGATTGACCACATCCAGATGCCAAAGAGTGGATGCTATGAATACGCACTAGTCATTGTGGATATGTTCTCAGGGTGGCCAGAAGTTTTCCCAGTGGCCAATCTTACCGCAAGGACTACAGCTAAACATCTTCTGACGGAAATTGTCTGCCGGTATGGAGTTCCAGAAGTGATTGAAAGTGACCAAGGAACTTCCTTTACCGTCTCATTGACATGGGAAGTCTGGGCAACACTGGGGGTGACCCTTGCCTTCCACACGCCATATCACCCACAGAGTAGCGGTAAGGTAGAACGCATGAATGGCACGTTGAAAGCCAGAATGCTTAAATTGTTCCAGGAGCCCAATATGCCCTGGCCCAAGAGTCTTCCCCTAGCACTGTTCAGCGTACGATATACCCCTAGAGGGAAGTTCAGCTTATCACCCTACAAGATCTTGTTCGGTACAGCACCAAGGTTAGGTTGTTATTTCCCCCAGCTTCAGTCAGATGCTATGGTAGATTATGTAACTGATCTCTCTCATGCCTTGACCAAACCCCATGCCCAAGTGTTTTCTTCTATTCCAGATCCTGAGTCGAATACAGGTACACACAAGTTGCTTCCAGGTGACTGGGTTATGGTCAAGAAATTCCTCAGGAAGCACACTCTTGAGCCAAGATTTGATGGTCCTTACCAAGTGCTGCTAATCACGGCTACCTCAGTAAAGCTGGCCGGAAAAAGTTCCTGGATACACGCCTCGCATTGCAAGAAAGTGCCTGCTGCAGAAGAAGCTGTCCCTACTGAGCCATGAATTCATTGTGTTTCTTATGTTTTCTTTTGCTGCTAAACTTTACAGGGGCCCAGCAGGTGGCCATAACCAAAGATAACCATGTTTACACCTTTTAGTACAATTCCTCAAACACAGATGTAGCTACATTTACCTTTGATTATTGTGATATTGTTGTTTGCACTTTTCCACAAACACAACACGCTGCTATATATATATATATATATATATATATATATATATATATATATATATATATAAAGACATACCTGACGAGAAAGACCCATACATTTGTGTGACTGGAGGGTTCTGGGGACATCATTGTAGTTCTTGGAAAGCGGCTGGGTGGAAAACTGGTAGATCATGGGGATATAATCCCTTGATAGAGTTGACAAAGATGGGAAACCCCTACTCTCTAGAATGACCTTAAGTAAAAATATTGGGTCAACCCCAATCAAACTCACCTTAAACATAGAGCACCCCAGTCCAGGGGATGCAGGGGAATATGTAATGGGTATGTACTGGAAGGGCGGTGACTCATATAACAAGTTGGGGACATTCTTCCTACAAGACATGCTCACCTCACCTGATTGGGTAGGTACGACTCACATGACTGTCAACCAACTTAAACCTCACATTAAGACTTTATATGATATGGTTGCTATTGCCAATCCCACCTTTGAAGACACTATGGCAGTAGAAACTGGGCTCTCAGACACCAACCTATGGCTGGAATGGATGAGATATAATGCTAACTCACACAATAAGACTAACTGTTATGTATGGGGGGGAGCTAGGCCCCACCTGGGCACGGTGCCTTTAAACCTACCTCCCAATGTTGAATTATGTGTCCTGAGTCTTTATGCACAATCTACCACTAACTCCTCAACATGTGAATCATGGAAAAAGGTCTACCCAATCACCCAGGGACACGTTAGACCACCTGATGGAGTCACGGTATACCCAGGTAACTACGCTTGCTATTCAATACCTAAGAACACAGGTACATTTATGGGCAAATTCCCATCTGGTTATTGCTCTACCTATCATAATCCACCCACGACACTGTTAACGAACTATGCAAAAACAGTTGGGAATATTTATTGGCTGTGTGGTGATAAGCAACTGAGATCCCAACTTACGGGACTATGGTGGGGAGAATGCACACTAACTAAGGCCATAATGCCCATCCATATTATCCCGGATGGCCATCACAATGCGTTTGATCCCACACACACACACTCCAGAGTCAATCCGTGGTAGCTTTGATCCACATGTTTATATTGTTGCCATTGGTGTGCCAAGGGGGGTACCCAACAAATTTAAAGCTAGGGATGAGGTTGCCGCTGGCTTTGAGTCCCTGCTTCCATTAATCACTGTCAATAAGAATGTTAATTGGATTAATTATATCTATTACATCCAACAGCGGTTTGTTAACTATACTAGAGATGCCCTACAGGGACTAGCAGAACAGCTGCAAGCTACCACCCAAATGACATTTCAAAACAGAATGGCTCTGAATATGATTCTAGCAAAAAAGGGGGGCGTATGTAAAATCCTCCCCGAGACCATGACATGCTGTACATTCATTCCATATAATACTGGGCCAAATGGTAAAGTAACTATGGCAATAGAGAAATTAGACAGCCTCTCAGATGAATTACAGAAGAATTCAGGGATCACTAATGTATGGGACAGATGGTTTGGACGGATGAATGGTTGACAGAGAACCCTATTCCAAGTTGGGACAGCAGTCCTCACAATGATCATCATCTTCCTGTTGCTAACTTGTTGTGTACTACCTTGCATACAAAAGTATTTACAGAAGACAGTAGGGAACACTATAGACAACATAACCCCTACTTTACTACACTAAGACGTCACTGACCTAGAATGTGACACACCACATACACCCCTCCAATCCCACCAATTCAGACAGACAACTGCATTTTCATAGGGATAGCATTGGGAAAGCGTCTGTCTCTACAGGCGAGTCTCACGTGCGGAGATGTGGTGGACTAGCCGCTGCCGGTTACCCACTTCAGTGTTTGATGCTTGTTAAGGCAGATGAGCCGCAGGCAGCTAGGGACATATTAGGGACAGTAGCAGTTGTTATGGTAAATAGTCATTTTAAGGGGGGACTGTTGTGGAAATGAGATATTAACATAATTTTAGCTACTAAAATGTCTATTTACTCCATTTAGTTATACTCAATATTATTCAATAAATTACTAAACTGACCACTAGATGCCACTCGGGAGTACCCCACCCATCGACCAAACACTCTAATTTTCAAGATGGCGCATGACGACAGTAATGACATAAGATGGCACACCCAGTAGGACGTGCTTTGAATAAAACACTTAACACTTAACCAATTATTGATGTATTATTTCATGTTATCTCTGACAGTGCTTATGATATAATTGTGCTTTATAAGGGACATGTCGTCCCCCCTGAATAAACATTCCAGTGATGAGTATTTCATCAACCGGGAAACATGTGTCTGGTGTGATTTACTTTGGAAAGCATGCATGCACCATAACTAATTTGGAAAGGGGCAGATACACAAAAATAATCAATTGATTGAATTGATTTCCATTTCAGCTACCGAAATACCTGACGCCCTACCACAACTCGCACTGGGAAGACAAGGGCTGGGTCCCGCAGATTTCAACAAGCCGATGACAACTACAGCCTGGAATCCCGCCACAGCGCGACCCTTTATACCAGCGGCCCAACGAGGAGAAACAGCATCTGCCTCGGTGCCATGAACTCCCTGACACCACCAATGCCTAAAACCTTAGACTCGGGCTCTAACCACAAGCCTTTATAAGTAACGTTCCTTGTTTATGTTTTATGTTTTTGTCTTAAAGCTGGTTGCCAATGACCTTTGGGATATTTATATGTCCTCTCGAAAGCTGTATGTATACACTGCAGTACTACTACCCCTCCCCCCAACTCTCCCTTTCTACCTCATTAAAAATGACCAACATTACAGACCTAAGTGTCAGTGAAAGGGGACACAGGTCTCTCTAATTCACTCCTAGTTTAATAGCCCTAGTTCAACCTAATGACCAAGAGGCAACTGTTGCGCCCTGCCCCATAAAAACCAAGAGTATGCTCACGATGTCACACTTAAGCAGGGGCCGCACGCTAGCCATTTAATTGCTTATAACTTACAATAATCATCCTAACGTTATAACGTATAACATACAGTTGCAAGAAAAAGTATGTGAACCCTTTGGAATGATATGGATTTCTGCACAAATTGGTCATAAAATGTGGTCTGATCATCTTCTAAGTCACAACAATAGACAATCACAGTCTGCTTAACCCCTTAATGACACATGACATGTGTGACATGTCATGATTCCCTTTAATTCCAGAAGTTTGTTGCCATGTTTTTATTGAACACACCATGTGAACATTCACAGTGCAGGTGGAAAAAGTATGTGAACCCTTGGATTTAATAACTGGTTGAACCTCCTTTGGCAGCAATAACTTCAACCAAACATTTCCTGTAGTTCCAGATCAGACATGCACAACGGTCAGGAGTAATTCTTGACCATTCCTCTTTACAGAACTGTTTCAGTTCAGCAATATTCTTGGGATGTCTGGTGTGAATTGCTTTCTTGAGGTCATGCCACAACATCTCAATCGGGTTGAGGTCAGGACTCTGACTGGGCCACTTCAGAAGGCGTATTTTCTTCTGTTTAAGCCATTCTGTTGTTGATTTACTTCTATGCTTTGGGTCATTGTCCTGTTGCAACACCCATCTTCTGTTGAGCTTCAGCAGGTAGACAGATGGCCTTAAGTTCTCCTGCAAAATGTCTTGATAAACTTGGGAATTCATTTTTCCTTTGATGATAGCAATCCGTCCAGGCCCTGACGCAGCAAAGCAGCCCCAAACCATGATGCCCCCACCACCATACTTCACAGTAGGGATGAGGTTTTGATGTTGGTGTGCTGTGCCTTTTTTTCGCAACACATAGTGTTGTGTGTTTCTTCCAAACAACTCAACTTTGGTTTCATCTGTCCACAGAATAATTTGCCAGTACTGCTGTGGAACATCCAGGTGCTCTTGTGCAAACTGTAAACGTGCAGCAATGTTTTGTTTGGACAGCAGTGGCTTCCTCTGTGGTATCCCCCCATGAAATCCATTCTTGTTTAGTAGTTTACGTATTGTAGATTCGCTAACAGGGATGTTAGCATTTCCCAGTGACTTTTGTAAGTCTTTAGCTGACACTCTAGGATTTTTCTTCACCTCATTGAGCAGTCTGCACTGTGCTCTTGCAGTCATCTTTACAGGACAGCCACTCCTAGGGAGAGTAGCAGAAGTGCTGAACTTTCTCCATTTATAGACAATTTGTCTTACCGTGGACTGATGAACAGCAAGGCTTTTGGAGATACTTTTATAACCCTTTCCAGCTTTATGCAAGTCAACAATTCTTAATCGTAGGTCTTCTGAGAGCTCTTTTGTGCGAGGCATCATTTACATCAGGAAATGCTTCTTGTGAAAAGCAAACCCAGAACTGGTGTGTGTTTTTTATAGGACAGGACAGCTGTAACCAACACTTACAATCTCATCTCATTGATTGGACTCCAGTTGGCTGACATCTCACTCCAATTAGCTCTTGGAGATGTCATTAGTCTAGGGGTTCACATATTTTTTTCCACCTGCACTGTGAATATTTACACGGTGTGTTCAATAAAAACATGGCAACATTTAATTCTTTGTGTGTTATTAGTTTAAGCAGACTGTGATTGTCTATTGTTGTGATTTAGATGATGATCAGATCACATTTTATGACCAACTTGTGCAGAAATCCATATCAACCAATAGAAAGGTGTCACAGACTATTTAAACCGCAATCAATTCAGAATGATTTACCTCGTGATATTATGGCATGCTTCTCTTCATTTGACTTTAAGGAATCGGTTCACATACTTTTTCTTGCAACTGTAGAATGAGAGACATTGCTTATTTCTCAGTTGCCTACAGGAGGACATAATGAAAACTTGGCTTGCGAAATTAGCGTCTGGTCCTCTATATATTCCGTTTAGTAGGTTAGTCTGTGCGTTAGAAGCTAGCGTGTGAGCTATGGAATAAACTAGACTATGGTGTATGCACTTCATCCTATGAATCGGTGGCTAGTGTATGTACTGTGCATTTCTTCATTTTGTTGTGTGTCTGGCCTGGTGTGTACCTAGCTGCCAGCTTTGAGGTGTTATGCGTCCCTCTGCTTCATCCTCGTGTGTTCTCCATTAAGTGTTTAGAGCGGATGGGGGGGTAGGAGTCTAATGCCTATTGAAATACAAATGCTGGGTATGGTGAGAGCAGAGAATTGCAACCATTCAGTGCAATCATTCACTTAAATAACTTATAACTTAACTAACCAAATTAACATTAAAACAGTCAGGAGATAGGTAACTATGGTGCCATGAGGTTGTGGCCCTGTGGTATTTGCTACACAGTCCCGGTAAGTACTAGCTGCAGACATCGGGCCCTTGGGGATCTCAACAAGTGTTGGTCGCCTCAGGGGAGCCCTGCCTGGGTTGTCATGGTACGAAGGTTTTGTCTGTCTCCTGGTTCCATCTATGCCGTGGCTCGGTGTTTGCGGAGGATGCCGTGCAGCTCATGGCCTCCTGAGGCAGTCCCAGCAAGTGCAACAATTTTAGACTAGTGAGCGGTAATGCCTATTGAAATACAAATGCTGGGTATGGTGAGAGCAGAGAATTGCAATCATTCAGTGCAATCATTCGCTTAAATAACTTATAACTTAACTAACCAAATTAACATTAAAACAGTCAGGAGATAGGTAACTATGGTGCCATGAGGTTGTGGCCCTGTGGTATATGTTACACAGTCCCGGTAAGTACTAGCTGCAGACATCGGGCCCTTGGGGATCTCAACAAGTGTTGGTCGCCTCAGGGGAGCCCTGCCTGGGTTGTCATGGTACGAAGGTTTTGTCTGTCTCCTGGTTCCATCTATGCCGTGGCTCGGTGTTTGCGGAGGATGCCGTGCAGCTCATGGCCTCCTGAGGCAGTCCCAGCAAGTGCAACAATTTTAGACTAGTGAGCGGTGGATGCTAACATGTAGGGGGGGGGGGTGGGAGTCTAATGCCTATTGAAATACAAATGCTGGGTATGGTGAGAGCAGAGAATTGCAACCATTCAGTGCAATCATTCACTTAAATAACTTATAACTTAACTAACCAAATTAACATTAAAACAGTCAGGAGATAGGTAACTATGGTGCCATGAGGTTGTGGCCCTGTGGTATATGTTACACAGTCCCGGTAAGTACTAGCTGCAGACATCGGGCCCTTGGGGATCTCAACAAGTGTTGGTCGCCTCAGGGGAGCCCTGCCAGGGTTGTCATGGTACGAAGGTTTTGTCTGTCTCCTGGTTCCATCTATGCCGTGGCTCGGTGTTTGCGGAGGATGCCGTGCAGCTCATGGCCTCCTGAGGCAGTCCCAGCAAGTGCAACAATTTTAGACTAGTGAGCGGTGGATGCTAACATGTAGGTGAGAGAGCAGCTTTCCCAGGTTCAAACGTTATTTGTAAACCTATGCTTTGAGATGTTAGGTGAGTTAGGTCTAAGTCTCGGCCAGAGTCATTGTAGGGACGTGACAAGGTGGAGGCTCCTTAACCCCGGAGTTGTTTCCATTGGGGTGTCTGGGTCGGCATATCACTCAGGTATTCGTCCTCTGAGGCAGAGAGTGACTCCATCCCCATGGTTTGGAAGACGTCCGCCATTTTGGGCCTGCAGGCCTGGGACAGCTGTTGCCCAATATCCTGGGTATGCCCCGAGGACGACCCTCAGGGTTTCTGTGAGTGTTTCCCCATATGGTTTCCCCGAATTGTTGGAATCACTCAATATGTACAGCTCTCCCTCTTTTTTCCCCCAGTTTGTGGAGGTAGTTTTCAAGGTTTCTGTGGCTTTTTCGCCGTGATAGAGCTCGGGTTTCATGCGACTTGTCTGCTTGACGGTTAGCCCCCCCAACACTCTTTTTTTGAGGGCTAAATCCAGACTCTCCCCCCCCCCCTTTTTTTTGCCCAAATTGACTTTTTTCCAATTTCTGCAAATTTCATCCTTCTGGGGGAGTCTTTATGACATAGTCTGACATGTCTAGCGACAGGGGTGTCCTTAAAAGTTGTCACTGAGTGGATATGTTCCATAACCCTTCTTTTGAAGGGACCTATGGTTTTGCCCACATATTTAAGGCTACACTCACATGTCAAAAGATACACCACCCCAGAGGTGTTACAGTTAAAGAACTGTTTACAGTAAACTGTAACTGTTCAACGCCTCAGACGAAAATGCTGAAATGTGCGTCTGGCTCACGCTCAACTTTTTAATTTACTGCATGTTTTTTTCATCACTATGGATAGTTTATGAGGGTTTTTGAATAATACCTATGAGGGGAAACACTCTTTAATGGGGTGTAGTTAAGTTAAAGTAGTTACTTTCTAGCCAGCATGTAGGGCTCAGCTTTTCCTTATCAGGGTTTTTTTTTCCATTTAGTAGCCCTCAGCTTTCATTTGAGTAATTTTTTCAGATAGCAACCTTGAAGTCGATTTATTTTTAGTACGTTTCTATGAAGGCTTAGTTATTTTCACCTTCAGTGACTATTTCCCCAGGATTCTTTTCAGTTTGGGGATTATTGATTTCAAATCATTGTCGTTAGACTTCAAAAGTTTCATATTGCTCAGTAACTTACCATCAGTTGGTTAACCCTTTGTGAGTATAATATATCCTAGGGAGTCGTCTTAGGTGGGGGGGGGTTACTGATTTCAATATATTGTCGCTTTATTTCATAGGTCCTATAGTGCTTGGCAATTATAATAGTTGGTTAACCCTTTGTGAACAATATATTTTTCACTAACTACTTTAAGCAAGAGTGGTTTTGATCTATTTAACTTTTATTTCTCCTACCTCTAATTATAAAAATTTTAAGTAGCCTTCATTGCTACAGAACTCCTTCTACCCTTCTTACTTCACAGAGCGTATTAGCTTATGTTCTCTACTCTGTGTATTTATAAGTTTCCTTTTTTCTTTTCTGTTGTGGCTTTGCTATATATTTTTAAACATTATCTAATAAACTGATTTTTTTTTATTAATCATATTGAATAATACATAGTATCCATATAGGGACTTCTTTGTGTCCTCTGGACTTTGTATCCATTGGACATTTTCTGTATACAATCTAATTCTTAGGGTTACCCCCTTTTGAAGTCCCTTTACACACTCCAGGTTGCCTTTTGGAGGTCTTCTCTTTTTCTTGTTATCTATATATAACACTAACCTAGGCTCTATGCTCTTATACCAATCCCACATACTCTCTACACAGTGAATTTGGCATCTGAGGGATATATATATATATATATATATATATATATATATATAATTTTTTATTTTTTTTTATTATTTTTTTTTCTCACCTCTCACAATTCAAGCTGTGATTTATTTAGTTTAATAAGGTAGGGGTAGGGTGTTTATCGGCGCTCTTTACCCTCCTATTTTCCTTTAAATCGAATTGTTGGAATCACTCAATACGTACGGCTGGTTTCTAATCTTAGCAGCCCTACGCTGTCTCAATATCAGTACCTATCTCCCTTGCTTATACCTAACTAATTTACACTTGTACATTGGATAGTTTATTATCCCGGCAATGTATTGACCTGCTTCCTATCTTCTCTTGATTTTTACCACCATAGTTTACTGCATATTTTTCATAATAGCTACACTCTTAAGTATACTCTCAAGACATTGAACTCTATCTATTCAAATCTATTCAATGTATCTAATGTTTTCAATTAAAAATAGTGTAACTTTTGAATAGTGACTGGAGTTACTGCTGTTTTATCACCCATTTATATACAGGACAGGTCAGGCAAGCTAAGTAGATGTATCCTTTTTAATATACTGATTTTTTTTTTCTTTCACCCACTTTTCTTTTATCACAATTGTTGTTTCACATTTCTGTGTGTTTATTCATGTAATAA